ATCGCACGCCACGTGCACGCATTCGCAAATCCGCCATACGCGACGAGTTGAACCAACTTCAACTTTTTGCGTTGCGGTAACTGCGTCGACCAATCACAGAGGCTTTTCTTCGTTTCGCGTCAACAGAGACAGTTGGAGGATCCCTAGAGACAGTCTGACACTACTGTTTCGCACAAGCGGCACATTCGTAAATAACGCACAAGGAAGAACGAGCATATTATAAAAACTATCAAAGTGCACATGGATCCTAGTTCTTCAGTGACAATGAATGCATGTTCATATTGGACCTCAGAAAGAACGAGGGAGGTTATTTCAATTGTGCGCAGTAATATTGGTTTATATGCCAAGGGCTCACGTATGTTCAAAAATAAACAAGCAAAAGATTTAGCTTGGCAAAGTGTTGGTGCATTGCTAGTTCCTCCTTGTTCAGGTAAGATGTTCTAATTAATTTAATTTCTCTAAACATATATATTTGATAATACAAAAAATAGACTAGGTTGCTCTCTGACAGCTTCTCTCTCCCTCTCCCGCTCCCGCTCCCTTCTTCCCTCCTCTCTCTCTCTCTCTCTCTCTTTCTCTCTCAATTGCTTATCGTAATTTACATAAATTTTTATTTAGGAGATATGGTTGCAAAACGTTTTAAGAGTTTGAGAGATACCTTTCAAAAAGAAAGAAAGAAAGTTCTTGCTAATATTCCCTCATCAGGAGCAGGTGTACAAGATGGAAATACGAGATATGAGTCAACATGGGAATACTATAAAGATTTATTGTTCCTTTCAGAACACATTAACAGTAGAACGTATGTATAGTTTTAATATTTATATATTTACATTTCTCTGATAGAGAATATATGATAATAATACACATCTTTTTTTATATTTAAATATATTGAAGTAATTATAAGTATACGCATTTTTATTTTTTAAATATTTACACAGGACAATAAGTAATTATTCAGGACACTCTGACAGTGAATCTGTCTGTCCTGAAACACAATCAGATGACAGTCAGTTTTGGACAAATGAAACAGATTCCTGTACAAACGTTTTAAAAAGGAAAGCAAGCCAGCCGCTTATTTTCATGGAAATGACAGAAGAAAATGAAAGTGCAATACCTGAAAATATTGTTTATAAGGATACTTTGTCTGTCTCTTTGCAATGCACATCCTCCTCAGGTGACAACGAGTCATGTAAGAATTTTATGTTTGTTGCCATATATGTTTACTTTACTATTGTATATGTATTTGTATTATTTTTGCAGTACTCAGCGACGAATCAAATAAAAATTCTTGTGTTTCACCAGCTGTACTAAAATCATCAGTACCTATTATTGAGGTTCAAAGAGAGACCGAGACATTACCGACAAAAATATCTGGTTCTCAATGTGAAGCATCATTATCTGAAAAGTCCCTTACTATTCGAGGAAAAGCGGTAAAATCAATGTTACAGCATAAACATCCAATATCAGATGTGGCGAAAAAGGAGAAAAATGAAGATGTTCTCAAAAGTTGTATACAGCAACTTTCAAAAAGTGCAGCAGAAGTCGCAGCAAAGATAACTCGCCCTACTGAAATAAATACCGAAGAATTACATTTTTTGCAATATTTAATAAAGCACGTGCCAGATGATAAAAAACTGTTATGCATTTCTGACTTTTGTCGTATCGCAGAAATATATAAGAAAGGTGCAAGTCCCCATATTACCGAAGCGATATAAAACTAAATATTGTCTGTATTAACTTTTCATTTTATTACTTTTGTTCTATACATTTAAAGATTTCTATACATTCTATACATTTAAAGTTTATGATTTTGCTAATTTTATTTTTGTGAAAAACGATACGCTTTATTAAAAGATAAACTTTTACTAACAATATATAAAAGCCAAAGATAATATTTTATTTGTTTTTATGAGACTGAGTAAAAGTTTTATATTACTTGTTCTATATGTTTGTTTTATTTTATGTAATACTTTTATGTATTTTTTGATTGCATAAATAAAAAAGAAAAATAATGCAATTGTTGTTTTCTCTCTCAATCCTTTAAATTATAAGATACTTTTATTGTAAGGTTATATTTTATTACATATTTTATTACTCTATCCTATAACTCTGTACTATCCTATATCCTATACTATACTCAAACATTTACTATATAAAATATAACTATTCTTACATTTCTATAATAATATCATTAAGGATCATTTAAAATCAACCCTCTGAATGCAAATCAGTACTGCCAAGGAGCTTCTTGCTCACCAAGTGGAGATACAAAATAATCCCTTATTACATCTCTCTGTTGCGTAGCATTTGTACGAGCATTATTGGCACCTATTCGTGTTAAATCTGTAAAAGTACCTAACCCTGTTTGGTTACGCCAATTACCTAAAATTTCGTCATGATCAAGAGTGTCATGGTCAATCAAATCATATGGACAATACGTTCTTGCATACGGCATCACATGCTGCTCTTCTGCAGTCATGATATAATTGTGCAAACAAACTAATGCTTTAATTATGTCAGTAGCATTGTCGGGGGTGCAACATATAGTTCTTGTTAATATTTGCCAACGAGAAACCAGTATCCCAAAACTATTCTCAATCACTCTTCTAGCTCTGGATAAGCGATAATTAAAAACTCGCTCTGCATCTCCTAAGTCCTTTCTGTTATATGGCCGTAATAAGTACATTTTTAATGGGAAGGCCTCGTCTCCTACAAATACATGATGTATCGGAATATTTGTTTGTGGTAAATTCTTAGGCGGAGGGAGATCAACATATCCACGTTCAAAGTCTGTTCCAAATTTAGACCTACTCCACACACCACCATCACTTATAGATCCTGCAAAAGTAAAAAATAAGAATTATATGAAATTCTCTCAAATGTTAGCAAAGATAAAGAGAAGAATTACTTACCGTATTGACCAACGTCAACCCAAGTAAATTTAAATTGTGCATCACAAGTTGCCATAAGAACAATACTAAAATATTGTTTATAATTAAAATATTCTGATCCAGAATTTGGAGGGCAACGTATTTTTATATGTTTCCCGTCTACTGCTCCAACACAGTTAGGAAATTGCCACTTTAAGTAAAATTCCTCAGCCACTTTGGCCCATTTTTCTCGATTCATGTCTGGGAGATATGTAGGATGAAGAGCACTCCATATAGCCTCACACACTTCTGGAATAATTTTATAAGCTGTAGATCTTCCTACCCGGTAGTCCCAAGATTGCGTTCGCACAGCATTCCCATGAGCAAGATAACTATAAAAAATTCGCGATTGACTAATGTATAATGTACAAAGTTTTGTAACATTTTATAAATACTGCACTTACGACAGTGTTAAAGCAATACGTAAACCAGCAGGTAAAGGTTTTCTTATGCAATTTTGAGCATTTGGCAAGAATGGTGACACGAGTTCAACTAACTGCTCGAATTTATGCGGCCACATACGAGTGAATTCGTAAAATTCTTCGTGATCATGATCCTTCATGTACGCGAATATTGTATCATAATGTCCTTCTTTCGACCGGGTTCGATTAATCGGTCGGACCCACCATCGTCTTCGTTTTTTCTTTTCTACGAACTGACACAAACTTAATGCTGCTGTATTTAGTGTCAAGAACAAAAATAACAAATTATGGTCTTGATCCATTTTTCCACAACACAAAGCAACTAGTAAACTGAACTAGTGTACTTGTCTCATATGGATTGACTGACGCGTCTCGCATGGCGTCCTGCGATTTGCGTTGCGAATACGTACTGCGTTTTCTTTGCATCTGCGAACTGCGTCTGGCGCGAATACGTACTGCGTTTTCTTTGCGTCCGCGAACTGCGTCTGGCGTGTTGCGGCCTATGTAGACGGGCCTTTATCGTTCTCGCGACTACGTTTCTCTTGATGCCCTTTATTTTCTTCGTGTCGCTCTTTCTTTCGACCCTCAAGGCGTACATTTTCGACCTTAGTCCAACGAATTCCGTCATTACCGCGCCGTCGTTCTCGTCCTTCATCAAACCGGGTATCTTCTTGTTGACGCGCGGCATGCGGTACGCGTTGTCCTCGGGGTAGCTGCTCGTGTCGAATCTCGCGATGTCGCGTTTCATATCCTCGTACGCGTCGTCGCACTCGAGAAAATATATGAGACTGTCGGTGTCCGTTTACATTATCTTACATTTTTTGCGATGCAGCGGCACCATGTAATCGTAATGAAAATCGTAGACGCGCGTCTGGGATATCTCGAGAATGCACATACCGACGTAGATGGGTTTGTTAAACCTCACCTCGAGCCTGTGCAACTCGACGGCGATCAAATCCCCCGCGAAGACGGTGCTACTGTGAAAATTCGGTTTCGCGATCATCGCCTCCGCGCCGTATCTCCCAATGCGTCACGAGACGCACGTCGACGTGATCTCGCACGTTTACCATGGTCTTGCCGAATACCGCGTTGTTCATTAATTTGTACATTTCTCTCTCAAAATCGTTGCTGGCTCGAGCTCTGAATCCCGTATTGAGCTCTATGTATCCGCGAAGTCGCGGAGATTGCGCGAATCGCAGCGCGCGGTGAATCCTCGTGACGCGCAATTCGTATTGCACGCATTGCTGTAGGTTACGGTAGTGCAGCACGTAGCGCGACTTATCGCGCAGAGTGGCGAGGAGTTTATCGCACCGTTTTCTGGGAGGTTTATCGCGGCGTCGGGCAGAACGGAAGGTTAGCGTGAGCGTCGTGGAGTTCACGCGGGTACGCAAAGTCTACCTCCAAGATGTAACCGATAGCGGAGTCTAACTTCACGGACATTACGTCGAGACTCTCCGCGTCGTCGACCCATTAAAAATCCGCGTACGGCAACGGTTCGCACATCGCCCAACCGTACAGATTGTTCACGTCAAAGTACACTTCGACGGTTGCGAAGAGTCGTGCGATCGCATGTATTTGTTGTTGGCTCGCGCGTACCTGTTGGAGCATTGACTCAGACCGCCGCGGATACCGCGCTCCACGAACATTACTATGTCGATATCGGTGAGCAATTCGAATCGCACCCCTGTGTACTTCAGCATCGCGTCCCACGTGTATCCCGGTAGGGTGTAGTAATGCGCGGGATCCAGTCCGTAAGTGTCGATACAGGTGTCACGAGAATTTTTGAAGATATCCGCTAGGAAAAACACGTCCGTTTTGAGATACAGATTGCTGTAGTCGCCGAGATTTTTCATGCAAAAACAACGCCAGACGTTCCGCGCGTGCTCGTAATCGCTGTCGCTCGCGCTCTCGCCGGTCAACGAACTGTAAAAATCCTTGCGCGACGGTAATTCCGTCACCAGCAACTTATCGAAGCCGTCGACGTACTTGTACGGAAATACGCCTTTACGCGTGACCAGGTCGAAATCACTTTCGCTCAGTTCTGAAAATTCCGAACGCATGATTTTCAGCTTGTTCTTATCGAGATACGACGCCAATTTCTCGAGACTGGTGCTAAGAAATTTGAACGAATTCACGAATCGCAGTTTCCCCAGTTAATGCCTTCCCTCACATTCTTCGTGAACGATATGTACGACTCTTTGGTGAGCGGTAATAAATCGATTCTACCCTCAAAGTTGTTAGCAATATCTTTGATAATAATGTGGGCATCGTAACCAGACAAATTGTGAAAGAACACAGGAATAACGTACGAGTCTTTATAATTTAGGTTGCAACGCGGATGAGCGGGACCTCTGTAACGTCCGGTCAAGTGGCAGTGATCGCGCACGCGTCGACCTCCGATTCGAACGGTTTCTCGTATATGTGGCAGCTCGTCGCGCTCCAAAAATTTCGTGTTTTGTCCAGCGTGAGCTTCGCCATGGTCACGTTCGTCATGAGTATCTCTTTCGCGCGATGCGCGATAACGTTGAGCTCGTTGACGAACCACGACACGCAGTCCTCGCCGCGACGAAATCTGTACCCGGGTGCAATCTCGTCGTACGGGCTGCACAGGTAGTATCCCACGTAGCTAAACGCTCTGTGATGCTGATATGCGTATCTCTTGATGTTATCGTTGTCTATCTCTTCTTTCTCCAACACGCATTTCAAATCGGCGTAGACCACGAAGGGAAGTCGCTCTTTCATACTGTGATCGCGAAAAAACCAACCATTTGTCGTCGTCCTTTGGAAGAACGATGGCGCAGTCGTTCATCTTTCCGCAGTCGACGCTGTGAGCGGACAATTTCTCGCTCGAGTGAAAGTAGTGTAGGCATCTGAAAAAAAATGTACGATGTTTTTTCATTCCACATACATCTGATTCGCACGACTTTTTTTTATACCTACCAATCGCATATGTTCTTCATGTTCTTGCTCCTGTTTAACTGAGACCCCACCAGTCGCGACAGATTCTTTATCCACGCAAAATGACCACCGTTCGAGTTGTTTCGCGAATCTGACAGATACAACAGATTGATGTGACTGTCCTTATAGTCGGTCAGCTGTAAAGGAACAATCTCGTCGTTCCGTCCCCTCCACCAAGTGGTGAAAACGTTGACGAACATGTTGTTGAGTCGTTCAAACTTCGTGCCTCAGAGTCATAGGAAACTCGATCCCTTCAAGATTCAGCATTGTCGCGTAATAGGGATACGAGCTGCATCGTTCCGCGTGCCGCAGAGCGTGTTACAGAGCGGAGATTACCGCCCACGCGAAACACACTTTGTCATTTGAATGCACATTGATCACCGCTTTCTTCATCTTTATCCATCGCAGTATTTTAAACCAACATCCGGCGTGCATGAGATTGCACTTGTTCACGTTCACCATCAGGTTTAATATACGCGACAATGCCCAGCCACTGTCGCGTTCCTGAAATTCATTCAGACCCGCCAGAGTGGCATCGATCACGTATCTGTCGTACCATTCTCGCAAATCGGCCGTAGGAAAGAGCTGACGATTTCTCGTGGCGACGCTTTTCACGGCGGTTTTAACTCCCGTGACGAACTCGCCATTGAAAACTGTGTTGACCTTCAGGCACGCAAGTCTCTTGTGATTGACGCGCACTTGTTCGACCACCGTACCCCTCGCGTCCTCGAGAAATAATTGAGGATCGACGTGATTAGAGTTTATCACCGCACTGGTCAGTACGCGACTGTCGAAAGCCGTCTCTATCTCCGTCCACGAAAATCCTCTGCTCGGTTCGCCGTGACCGACGCCCACCTGCGCGAAACATTGACGCAGAGCGCTTCTCGCTTCTTCCAATCGCGCTACTCGAGCGATAAGAGAGTTCAACGTTCCGGTGTACGTCGGATGGATTTTTTCTCGGCATCTCTCTCGCAGAGACGCGAGACGCTCTTCGCACCGTCGTTCCCACTCGCGATACGCGTCCGACGAGTCGACGCCCATCGCGAGTTCGATGAGATCGCGATCCTCCTCCTGCATTTTTTTTATCTCTCAAGGACGTTTTGACGCGTAATGACACGTGCTCAGCCACATGGTCCAACCGTCGCTGTCCACGGGTATACTGAATTTAACTCTTCGAATCTCCTTGAATCTCTTGATAGACGTTTTTCTCTGATTCCCTTTCGAAAACTTCCTCGGAAGTCCACAAATGTAAGACTTCGCTCTGACGTTTTGACCCAGTACAGTCTTCCATCCACATTTCCTCACGCGGAGACCGAAAACCGATCTCTCTTCTCACACTGTACATCGTCAGATTCCATCGAGCGTTCTTTTTCACCGCCTCGCGTTCGGTGACAATCAGCGACGATAAGTTTTTGAATTCGTTGTCCGTGTAGGACGACAACGACTCGCTGCAATATATATCAGAATTGTCAGATAATGACGATGATGAGTCACCGTAACTATCCAAATCGGACGAAATTTCGAGATTTTTAGAGTCCCCATCCTCCTCCTTGTGATCCATTGTCGCGTTGATACATTATTTCAAATAAATACAATCAGATTAATACTTTCCACCACGCACATTGCAGAATCGAGAATTTGCGTTCTCCCCCGCGCTTATATATAGCGCCCGATAACGATTCGACGGCGGATGTACGGGGTCAATAAGGCAGCAAATAACCGTGCCGCGTTTCCTGGTATAACTTTGAGAAATAACCGCAATCACGCGTCTCGCGCGTGTCGGCGTCGTGAAGAAACGGAGAAACGATCTTTGACGACGACGACGATGTTTAGCGGGATATAAAATTGCGTGAGGATTTGCGTTGGTTCGCGCTTATCGCTCGACGGATGTCAATAGGGCAGCAGATAACTCTGGAATAACTTTGAGAGATAACCGCGATCACGCAAACAGAGACGATCTCCGACGACGACGATGACGACGACGAAATGTTAAAATATAAACTTGCGTACGTTGAAATTGTTTCTATCCGTACGATTATTGCAATGTAGATTTCAGTAATTATTAAAATAGAAATAAACACGATGCGTGCGCGGTTAAAAATATCGATGACGCGTAAGCGTCCGCATTGTGAGTCGAGGCGCGAAAGATCTCCGACGACGACGATCGATTGTCGTGGGCCGTCGATCGATTACCGACGCACCGCCGTCGTGACGGGGGATCCATCCGCGAAACCGCGGAGAGGCGCCTCCGTCGTGCCCCGCCGCGCGAGAGGGAAAATTCGGAGTGGCGCCCTTCCCGCCCCGCCGAGCGAGAGGGGATATTCGGAATGGCGCCCCTCACAGCCCCCCTCTATCCTGGTTTCGGAAAACAACGGAGGGGCGGCGCCCGTCTGCCGTCGCCATCTCCTCGCCCATCGCTTACGGCGGCCCCCACGCGTTCCGCTTCCTGCCCCCGACCCGCCGTCAAGTGCTCCGCGAAGCCAAATCCCCTACAGCATGCCTACTTATGTCTAAACGTCAGCATTCTGCAAATCTATCAGATAAGAAATAA